CCAAAAACTGCAGTTCCTCGAATGGCCACTCGAGCCTGGTGCCAAAAACATTTTTATTTATATGTTAGCACTAATTAGCAGGTATTAGTGTCTGCGCTCATCACACCTGGCTTGAATTAGTTTCGGATTAGCCTTAAAGCAAGACGCCCACACACCCAGTTGTGCTAACAATGCAAACAGGAGCGTATGCTTGCCACAGTTATTAAACCACTCATCCTCCACCTCTGCAAATTTTTGGATTAGCCCAGAATTAGGCGGAGTCAGACAAAAGGTGGTGATGGTGGAGCAGCCCACTCTGAGCCTCAAAACCACTCTTCAGAAACCATGGGTGACGTCATCTTTATTTACTGTCTATGCTAGGAACCCAAGTCATTATGAAGGCTGCTGTGACTGAGAAGAGTAGCCGGCATCATACCTACATAAGAAGTACAGTACCAGTACAGTAAATTACAGTAATTTATAGAGGCAACAACATTATCACCTTTATCTTAAGAATTAGTTTGATATTTTTTTTTAACATGAATTAACAAATAACATAAGCAAGCAGTGGTAGTGAGCTGTGGTATGCTAGCTACTACGATGTCAGTCAGTAATCACAGTCACATGGGTGGTAGATGGTATGACTTCTTTCCCTCTTTCCAGATATTGGTAACTTGGTATTAATGGCTTCAAATGGGCTTCAGCTGTATATTTACATTAGTATTGTGGTGCCTTGGATTAAACCAATGAAGAACTTAACGTGAGCACATTATTGTGCCAATAACAGAACATTTTACAGTGTCAGGGTCATCATAGTCATTTTTGCTGTCAGTCAATGTTACAACAAAATGTCAGTGGCCACAAATGGCATTTAGAATGAGAAACTCTGTACTGTTATTTGATGGGAAATCTTGCTCACTCACCGTTGAAAGCAGTATGACAAATGGGAACAGGTCAGACAACTGTGATAAAAGTTTCTGAACAGTGCCAAAGAAAAGGAAAAAACTCAAAACTCTAGACGACAGCAACTCCTACTCCTATTCAGAACTCTGCAAGGCAACCAGTCCTAACTTTGCAAGTTAACGTTAAATCTCCGTCAGCTTGCAATGTCACATTTTCTGCCAATTCTTCCTCCAGTTACAGAGACATTTGAACATTTCTTGGACTATTTTGCTCTCTGCCCTGTATATATTTCTGGCACTGGAGTACATTGTACCACGAATGTCTACAGAAATGCATGCTTGCACACAACTGCAGACACACACGTACCCACATACACACATAAACATGTTTAATTCAGTTCTCTACCTGATGCCAAACCCACATCGTCATTTAATCTTTATCTGTACCCATCTCCCTGGTCCTGATTAGACATCTAGCTTTTCAGACTAGGAGTGGAGTGGACAAGATAAGATCTGTTACAATGAAACTCTCCTCTGGTGATGATGGCGGTTCTGACTATACAGTGTGTGTGTGTGTGTGTGTGTGTGTGTGTGTGTGTGTGTACAAATATGTTCCCACAACTGTGTGACTGAATAAGTGCATTTTTACATCTCTGAGTGCATGTTAAACAGATTAACCAGGATCCACTGGTTCAAGATGTATTTGTACTGACATACACATAAACATACAAAGGGCAGAACTTCAACACACACACACACACACACACACACACACGTACACACACACACACACGTACACACACACACACACGTACACACACACACACACGTACACACACACACACACGTTTTGTGTGTGTGTGTGTGCACCTGTGGGCCTGTGGCACGTTCCAGGCAGGCTGTCCGCCAAACTGGGGCTATGACAGACACACACACGCACACTCACACAAACACACACACACACACACACACACACACACACACACACACACACATACAAACACACTGAGCAAAGTTGGCCCTGCTAAGCACTAGAGTCAAAACCAGTATGAGAGAGCAAAGGCATTCCTCACTCCTCTGAGTCTCCGAGCTGTGCTCTCTGCTCTCAGGCCAAATGATTAAAGCGCTCTAATCAGCAGAGGCTCTGAAAGGACAGCTATCTCCCAGCATTTCATCTCTCCCACCGTCCGTCTCTCACTGCAGCTCTCTCTCTCTTCCTTCAGCGACAACCTATCTATATGAAAGGTATTTTCCTTCAAAAGACAAGTATGACTAAAGACAGACAGAGATAGAGACATTCAAGAGGAGCGCGCATGAGACTGAGAAAGAGAGATGTACGATGGTATGTCCAGCAGCTTTCAACAGAGAGCATCATTGTCCTGGCAGACCAGGGAGCGACCCACAGGTGTGGCTTCACCCTAGCTGCACCACAGTTGGGCACTGTGTGTGTGTCAGCGTGTGTGTGTGTGTGTGTGTGTGTGTAAGTCTGTGCATGAATATGTGCGTATCGCGTGTCTGTGTGAGTGAGTGAGTAAGCGAGCCAGCGAACAAGTGAGTGAGTGAAAGAAGATGACAACGTATGTCAATGGGGATAAAGAGGAAGTAGGTGATTTCTTAGCGTTGATGCTCTTAATCCTCTACAGCTTCATTTAAAATAAATGTCCTGGGTCCTGTACAATGTGCTGCCAGTAGGAAAGTGACATAAACATTACATAAATGGGCAACAGAGTTATTTTGGCAGATCTTAACAAGTTAAGCTCTCTCTGTGAATTAAACCCCATAAATATGAAAAGATTGGTTTGAGTATGTGGCAAACATTAATCACTTATTTTATTCCTTTTTATTTTTCCTCTTTCATTTGACCACACCATAGTGCTTATGTGAAACAAATGCTTATAATGGAACAATGATCCATAAAGGTTCATATAATTTTTAGTATATACATTTTTTTTAAATCTTACATTATAATTTAAATTAGTTTATACCATGGCAGGATTTAGCCAGATTTAGCCCAAGTAAACCATGTGTTTGAAGGCAGTGTAATAAATTACCGATCCCTCTAGGGACATTGTTTTTCCCTCTTTCTCTCCACAGCTGGGTCAAAGCACAGATCAGCACCCTCTGGTTAATCTGATTATATGTCCATACTAGGACACCCACATACCACAAATCCATCTTTTTCTCCCCATTTTGCCTCATCATCCACATTATTCCAGCATTCTTCATGCCAGATACCAGAGCTTCTCAAAAACTGCTCTGCAGAGTGGATAAATCTGAAAACAACAGCCTTGCATTTTTGAGTGGACAAGAAAAACAAGTTTTGGAAAATGATGACATAACAATGGAAATTGTGCGTCAGTAAAGTTAACAGGACAGCTAACCCTAATCTCTCTCCGTCTTTAAATGTCAATATACACGATCACACAGCACACCTATTGTCATTAACCAGTATTTATGTTGATTTACTCAACAACTTTGTGATTACAAAATTGTGATTTGATCAGTGTTGCGGCATAGGAGTTTCTATTTGCCTGGTCAACAGGTAGAGGAAAACATTGCATCATGCTGATTCAGCTGACTGACAATGTATACAGAAAAATACATAATAAAAACAGATTATGAGTCCGGCTTAATGAGGACACCGTAAAGATCTGATGATGGAGAGCAGAAGGAAACAGAACGGAGGTTTAAACCAGCTGAGTAACTCCGCTGTCTGTCCCTCTCCACATTGTAACAGATGTGGACACACATCCTCTACAGCTGCCAGTCCATCTACCAGTCAGACAAGGACATACAGTCCACTTACACAGCCTCAGTGACACTACATCCCACATTGACCTTGACTGGGCTGTGAATGAACAGTGGGAGGATTCGCTGGAAAGAAAAAAAACAAAAAAAAAAAAACACAAAGCTTCACATTCAAACTCTACTTTGCAGAAGTGTGTGTGTGTGTGTGTAAGAGAGAGAGAGAGAGTGAGTGAGAAAGAGATGAGGACAGAAACATTGGATGTTGTCTAATGAAACACTGCACACAAGACAACGAAAGCACTACAAACAGACAGACAGACAGACAGACAGACAGACAGACAGACAGACAGACAGACAGACAGACAGACAGAGACCCACATGTTATCAGCAGATCTGCAGAGGGGTTGTCTGTCTGTCTGTCCAACTGTCACACACCTTGCAGAGCTGAGCCTATATGGATTGTTTTATGATGACATATCCACTGTGCCTAGAGGGCCACCTGACATTCCTTACTCTGAACCCCCTCTACACACACACACACACACACACACACACACACACACACACACACACACACACACCATCAACACCCACCACCCTCCACCATTCTCCCTCTCCCCTCTCCTCTGTGTATTACTGCAAGCAATGAACAGCAGACACCTCTCTCACCTTCCTGTTTCTCTCTTTCTCTGTCCTACTTCAGCCTGTGACTCTCTGAACACCTTATCCCTTCAGAAAAGATGCAGCTTCATGAACTTCTTCGTGCTGGGAACCCACATTACGCTGTCTCATTAAGACACACCGTGACTTGTTAGTGAATTTTTCAATGCTTACCAATTATAAATTGATTATAGGTTAATTGAGCATACAAAAGTTTTAGCATAATGTAATTTAATATTAGAAAAGCATAAAGAGAAAAATGTGTTAATAATTGTTTGAATTTCTTGTATATACATTTAAATATATGTATTATTTTTTAGGCTACATCCAAGCAACAGGAACTTATGTGTGTCATTACTGATTTCTCTGACTGTTTGGTCATTTTGTAAGGACACTCTGTATTGTGTCAGCTGTTCTCCTCACATCCTGCTGCTGTTGCCTTGTACTGTTCGCTCAGTTATGATGATCACAGTTGTCTTTGGACCAGGCTCTCGGGATATCCCGGGAACAATCTGAAGCAGTGTGAGTATTTAGGTGAAAAGCCGGTAAGCTAATGCTGAGTGATGGTGCTGTGGGTAATTATAGAAAACATGATTACGCCCCGTGTTTGTGCGCAGAAACTAAATAAAACTATGTCGGTGAGATCATGTGAATCCCAATTTGACAGGAGACAGAGAGAGATAAAACACGTGGTAAATACACAACACTTACCACCACAGTCCGATGATATTGACCGGACAGAGCAAGATAAAGAACAGGGCAAGTTGGATCCGTGATAGACGAACCGTCATGTTGAACGCAGCAAATCCTCAAGGAGATTCCCCAGCAAAGTTTAAACTGACTCAGCTCAGCCAACACCGAGTCGGATTATTTCTGAAACACATAGGAGGTCCTTGTTTTCTGACGGTGCGACTCAGCAAAATCTCACTGGAAACTGTCTGTCAACGAGAGCGCCAAAGGTTCATCATCCAACTCCTCTTCTCTCGGGCGCATCTTAATGCGCAGCAAAGATGGTCAAGAGGCTACTGAAGAGACGTCCGCTTTCAAAGGTGTGGTTAACCTCTTCATTGTCGTTCTGCTCTATCTGTCGCAGCACATTACATGTTTTCACCGCGGGCTGAGGAGGAAAGAGAGGACGACAGAGCAGTGGAGTCCTCCCTGAGAGCGAAACAGCCGCACGACACAGCTCCTGGTTGCGTGGATACTCGGAGTCTCTACTTTTTTTTTTTTTTTTTTTTTTAAACGATGAAATTATATCAAAGACGAAGGAGAAGAGCGCTGCTGTCTTCCAATCAAATAAAAGAAAGTTTGGTTTTATGCTGGATGTTGCCGCGCTATGAACTGACGCGCTGATGAACTTGGTGGGCCAGTTTTCGGTGCGCACCGGCTGCAGGTAGAGGCGTCTGTGTGCCACAGGTCTGACGATGTGTTTTCTTTGGATGATAAAGGGAGGAAAAAATGCTCTCGTCTTCTTCCACCTTAGTGTGACGTCGCTCCGGGCGCAGCGAAATCCTCGCTGTCACTCAGAGAGGGAGAGAGAAAGAAACTGCAATTAGTTTTAGGAGGACCCGGCTCAGAGCAGAAAGGGGGTAAACACATACACACACACACACACACACACACACAGGCAAAGAGAGAGAGGAGAGAGAGAGAGAGAGAGAGAGAGAGAAAGAGTTACCATACAGTGTGTTTATGGTGAACCTGAAATAAAAGCTTATGGACTCATATGTGAGTACAGGTGAGAGAGCACCTTTCAGATGATAGTGCCATCTGGATGCGTGTTTTATAATCCAGCATGTATACACATTGTGTAGAGAAAGAAAAAAGAAAAACCGTCAGTTCGTATCAACCTTTTTGTACACACAAGTAGCCAAACTTTAACAGCTGCCCTCAAGAGAAAGCGTGTGTGCGTGTGCGTCTGTGTGTGTGCGTGTGCGTCTGTGTGTGTGTGTGTGTGTATGTGTGTGTTTAGGGACAGGGTAGTATTATCACCTGCCTGGCCAAGGGCATATCCATTGAAATTTAACACCACTGTACTGTAGTCGCCCATAAAAGCCCTGACACCCGACTTCGTTCCACTGCAGTGATGCAATCAATCACGAGTGTAACACAAGGCAAACTCACCCAGTCAAGTACCACTGTCTTTCCTGAAGGCCTCAGTTCCATTTACTAATGCACAAACCATAACTGTGGCTTTAACTCTCACCAATAAAAGGTCTTCACTGGAGCCAACTCTGACTGTAACCCCTTAACTTAAGGCTGACAGAAAAAGTCTTGACTTCCAAACTTTTACTCATATTTTACTCATTTTTGCCCACAGTCACCCTCAGCACATGTCTGACCAGTCCTGGCAGGTTTCATTTGTTTATCCAAACTTTTCATCCATTGAAATATTTTTGTGTGTCAGTGCCTTGTGAAAAGGTTGAAACCACTTGTAACAAATCCATTGAAAACACTCTTGAGTTTTTGCTTGATTTGGTCCATTTAAATCATGTGTACTTTACATTGCAGCTGTTCGAAGACCTCCATAGTATTATGGAGCTTATGATGCATTTTCCCCAGCTTTCTATCAAACATGATCTCCATTCATTTCCCTTCAGCATGAACAACAATGTGTTCAGACTTGAAGTTTACTTGAGGTGAATCATCACATTTAATTTCATGCTTTGTACTGGTCAAAGTATCATAGTGTGGTAATACAGCTGAAAATGTGAACTGACATGAAAAGTCAGCTGGAAAGGTGCAGTCATGTGCTATCCAAGAACACATGTCTACTTGTGAATTACAGGTAGACAAAATGTTCTTTTTTCATAATGCAACAAGTGTGCACATTTACACATAATCTTGTTATGACATCCATGTTTTTGTCTTGTCCGTCATCAAAATTAGATTTTTCGGCACCGTAGCTTGCAAATTTGAAGCTGTTTGTGAGCCCATACTATTCATACTTTATCTGCACTAATGCAGATACACTTGAAAATGTATCTTTGGCCCCACTTGTGTCCTCATATCCACTCACGTCCCTTAAACCAGATGTTTTTCAGACGTGACAGAAGGACTGACAGCTTGTCAGGTTTTTGCAAACATGAGCGAAGTGCTGAGTAGCAATGTTAAAACTTTCCGACATCTTCAGCTTCCTCTGACATGTCACATTTGTCTCTTTTCTGTTTCATCGCAATGATTAAGGGTCTTCCTTTAATGCAGAAGTCCTCAAACTCATGCGTTCACATCATAAGATGAGAGATTCAAATTAGAAAACCTATTTACAACATGATCACTTGTACAGAACAGGTGGAGAAACTGCTCATGTGTTTCAGTTCAGTCTATTCAACTTGGTTTGTCATAAGATGAAGGACGTTTTAACAGTTTTGTATTGTAATTTTTTAGCATTGCAGTGTAGATGGCTGGTTATAGAAAATGCAGGTATAAACACATCAGTTCATCTACACTGGCTGTGACCTAACATGACAATGATTATAGCAGACCTGACCATCTGCAGTTGTTAAATAAAGGCTAATTCCTCTTTAAACTGGAGACAGGATGAGGCGTCTGGCTGTCCGCTAACCAGATGAACATCAGCTCCTGGATCAATGAGCTCAATCAGTTGCATATTTATGACACTCTATCTTGTCCTACTTGGAGTAACCGGTCTTTGATCTCTATACTCAGAATTAGATTCTTGTGAATAATTCATTTTGACCCATATTTGGTAAGTTACTGGGAGTTCATTTCACACCCTGTATGGACATAAATATACAATAAATTTACATTGCTTTGGCATTTACTATGATTAGCATTTGAGCCAATGAAATCGTTTATGAGGACAGATGTGATTACATATTTCACAGTGCGGTACACAAAACTGGGAGTAGTTACTGGTGAGGAAGTGAGGAAGACGTGAGGAATGTCCTCATAATTAAAGGGGCAATTTGTACATTTTTTCTGCCGCTGAATGTGGTTTCTTGCTGGGAGCGTGTGGTGGTGACTGTGTCTTTATAATACAAGAGGTTACAATATGGCCTCTGAGTAGAGCTATGTCTTCAGGACAGATTGGAGGCTACAGTGAGTCGCTATGGGAAAGTGACGAGTCGGGCTGATAGGGGTCGGGGCTAGCTGGTTAGCATGCCAACTTCAGTGGAAGAAAAGATGTGATAGAATCAAGACTTAACCTCGGTATTGGACACGTTTCTTCTAGGCTTGTAAGTAAGCAGCTGTTCATGCTAATGTTGGCTATGAAGCCATAGCAAATCTTACAAATAGCTTCTTTAAAGTAGTTTCTGCAAAGCTGTGAAAGGGAGACTGTATATATTAAATAATGGTGAGTCACTAGAGGACCAACTGGAAGACACCATAATGAATCATTGAGGACTTGTTCATAAATATCTGAATCAACATACTGACCACTTTGTTTGTGAGTAGTTTCTGATTAACTATGATTCAGTCATTGAGTCAGTCACAGTCAATGGCACAATATACTAAAGACTAATTAATTGCTCATTAGTTCCTCTTTTTGTGCACCCTCATGTAAATTGGTATATTATACAAAGTAGTTATTAAAACACTTAACTAAAGGTTAATGGCAATATTGGATTTGCAGGATTTTTGCATTAAGGATGATACTTTACTTCAGCATATTTGGCCATCTGAGACACAACTGCCACACGATCTTCACCGAATTGACATGACATGTTGTCACCATTAGCTCTTTGATTTGTCTTTGCAGCGTTGGTCTCAGATAAATCAACATTGTTTTTTTCCTCTTCTCTCATAACCCATCTAGGACGTAGATAATCAGCCTCTGGTTATCTTGTGATCAGTCCTCTCTGAATCCACCTTATTGCTCTTCAGAAGTGATGTATGCAGTATCTGCTACTCCTCCAGGTGTGTCCAGACTCCTTTACTTCTCTGATGCTTTTGTGGAATGAATAGTTCAATGTATTTTACAACAGACAAAACACATTTCTATTAAAAAAAAGTCTCCCCTCCGTACTATATGTATCTGTGTGTTTGTTTACTTTACTTCCAACCTACATCATTTTTATACATTTTCTTTTCTTTTTTTTTCTATCTCTATTGACCTGTTTCTCTCACATGCATCTGTCATGTGATGGATAAAAAAAAGAAGTTGAATAATTAGCATGTGGTACCTGAAAAAGAACATACTGTGATGTTTCTAGCAGAGAAAGCTGAACTCTTTGGAGAATGCTGCGTTGATATGTGAACTGGCACTAACCGCAACAAAATTAGAAAGTTATGAAAATTGAGTTATCTCAGTAACCTATAAATAACTGCAGCATAGTTGTGAGCATAAACATTACGCTATGTACCGGCTGTTCTCTCTCCACATCTATCTTTCAACCACCTTCACCTCTTGTTCTTCCCCAATTTTCTTTCTTCAATGTCTTTTCTGTATCAGTGTCTCACTCTCCCCCAATTTCTCTCTCGTCTTGTCCCTCTCTCTGCTGGATGAGTGTGTTTTGTTAGGGAGGGCTGATTCTTCATACTTGGCTGAGGCTTTATGGACAATAAAGATCTAATTTCAAAGTCCGGCAGGGTGTTGGGCCTGGGGTCTTGGCTCACAGCTTTAGTTGCCTGCTGGGAGGAGACACTGAACAGCCCCTAACCAGATGGCCATCAGCCCACATACAGTAGATTCATATTGTACATTATGTGTATTGTTCAGATTCTTGTCTGTGCGCAGCTCCGTGCTTCACCACCACGGCCTTGGCCAGAGTCACTGAGCTGCACTGACCTCCACAAAATAACTATTAGGTTCAGTGTTGTAATACCT